AGTGCCCCGCTCCACTGCTGTGCATCTTACCCCCTTGAAACAGGGTATCTCACTGAACCTGGAGGGAGGCTGGCGCTCACAAAGCCCCATGAGCCCCTGGTCTCTACAGCGTCAGTGTCACGGGCATTTGTGAGCACACCTGGCTTTTCACATGGATTCCAGGGACTGGAATTCAGGTCCCCAGGCTTGTGTTGTCAGTTCTCTCCTCACCTGCCATGACAGTCTAACTGCTGAGTATTTCATCACTAATGTCATCACTGCTCCTCTGCAGTAGAATTCACATTTGCCATACAGAACATCCCACAGCACTTCCCCTTTTTTTTTTTAAAAAAAGGAAGGTTTTAACTTTTACATAGTAAAATTACAGATAACAAAACAATTATCAAGCAAGAATCACAGTTATAATATCTAGTCTATTTATAATAATTAGTCTATTTGGAAAAATTAAAGAAGATGTCTTATCTATCTTATATTTGTGAGTCTAAGGTTTTATATCTAACATATCTTTTATCATAACTAAGGAAAATTGTATCTAGCTTCAACTACATCAAAGACCTCAGAAGGATATACTACCTGAGAAATGGGAGAAGGATGCAAGCAACTTTTGGGAGTCTTGTAGGGTAGACAGAGACAGCTGGCAGCCTGGACAGTCATCCAAAGTTCTCTTGTAAAGTTAGGGCATCTGTCTTCATCCCACAGGGCTAGAGTCTTTCAGTCATTTTTCTCTGTGTCCTGTAGAATGTCTGGCAGTTTCCTCTGTGAAGCAGGAACCTAAAGGACCATTTTGTCAAGCAAAGTTCAGTCGTCACCTTTCTATGGGTCCTCCATGTCCAGTCAATCAAGCAGACCAGGCAAGAACAGTTTCTTGCACAAATGGCTATTTTTGCCAAGGCGAAGATAAACTCCATATGGAGTGTCTTCGATGCCCACCCCCCTCTCTGAAGTAAATCAGTGTTGACAGGAGCAGACATGTCCTACTGTCCAGAAAGTCTAAATTTTTAAAAATATTTTAAATACCATATTCTGTAGGTCTCTGAAGTGTTTGAAGATTACCTGTCTATCTGAAATATATCTATGTATACCTAGAAAACTTAACATGGTACAAGTTTGACTATTATAGAAGAGTAATTATCAATTTGTATTTTTAATTATCCACTGCAATCTAAATGAGTTACATAAACATAATACCTCAAATGACAATAGAAATATATATACAGTATAACAAAATTAAGTTTAAACTTGTATCAATAAACTAAAATCTATACCAATGTAAAACATTTTAAACAAGTTGTTGTTCTTTAAAAGTAGGTTCATTAATCTATCCTTTTATCCTATCATATCTAAGCTATCCCCTTTTCTTCTTTAGAAAGAGATTGTATTTATAGTCAAGTGTTTTAAATAAAAAATATTGGTTTTTCTCTGTCCCACACCAGAGGGCTCTTCTGATTTGGAACACAAGAACCTCTTAACCTTTTTTTTTTTTTTTTTTTTTTTAGCAATATGTCTGGGTTTAGAGGGGGAGTGAGCCAATTCCATCTCCAAAGCCAGCTTGGTATATTTGGGAATTTGGACATAGCATCTCATACTACTTCCTGCTGGAGGGGGGCGCTGTATCTTATGGGGACACAAAGAAAATTTTAGGCTTATGAGGTAGTCTGTGAGGCTGTATTGTCTAAGCCAGTTGCCTTAAGATGTTTAATTTTGATGAATAGAAATATACTAAAATATGCTTCATAACTAGATCAACATATTGTTCCATGTGGACTGTAAGACACTTAGAAGACTGTTCTCTATAATTAATCTTACTGACAGGGCAATTTGTCCCTGTGAAGTGTCCTTGTGGACAGATCACAAGCAAGACTTTCACAGGTTTTACTACTCAGTGGCAGAATTACAGGTGTCTGGCCTTGATGAATCAAAGTCTTTCAGAGATTAATAGTGACCTAGGGTGGAATTGCAGGTGTCTGGCCTTGTTGAATCAAAGTCCTTCAGAGATTTATAGTGCCTAAATTGCCTAAACTTCCTCTGCTAGCCCTGCCAATATTGAGATTTGCAGCACCTCCCTGTTCTGATTCAAAAAGCAATTAATATTCAGTATTTACTTCCACACCAGTTTTTGATGCAAGATTTAAGCCCAGTTTACTAACTTTTTACTTTCAGTCATGGATTTTATGTAAATAACAGCCAATTAACCAGCTAATTAATCAAACCTAGTCCAGAAGGGATTCAGCTATATGCTCAGTTACTGTGGGAAGATGCTCCACAGCTGGTCAGAGCTATGGGATGATTGTCCGGTCTCTCAGGCTTGAACAAAAAAGTTATGAGGTCTCTTCTCTATATTCTGAGACTGCAGTAGGGCAGAAAATGTGTTTTTAGATATGAGATGTCCCTTGGAACTTTACAAGTGAAGCTTTTGCCAGCCACCAATTAAAGCTGACAAGTTATTGCTACATGTGACTCTTACCATATCTACAAAAAAATTCTTGTGACCAAGAGAATTAACCTTGTTAACTTTTTTATTACTAACAAGTTGCTAATGAATGAATATATATATACATATATATATGTATGTATGTATATATTTGAAAATTTGTAATATCCAGAAGAACAAAGAGCATTTGCCCGTACAGATTGTGTATGAAGATATTATAGAAATCTTTCTATCTTTGCTCTTGAAAAGTCTTTCTCTGAGTAACCCTGGGTAGTGGTTCTGAGGGCTGGACCTGCAGACTGCTAACATGCTCCCTGCAATCTCTCCTCTTGCAGGCATTAATGTGCTGAAAAGGAAGGTTGCAGCTCATGACAATTTGAAATTGACCATCAGGCAAGAAGGGAATAAATTCACTATTAAAGAATCTTGCAGGATTCGAACCATTGACGTTGTGTTTGAACTCGGTGTCAACTTTAACTATACTCTAGCAGATGGAACAGAACTCAGTGTAAGACATTTTTTTTTTATAAGCAATGCATTTGTCATTTTTTACAAATACAAAGTAGTTTATCTTATGGAATGGTTCAACTAATGCAACACTCCTTCATTTACTGAAGAGGCCAAATGTGGTCTGTTTATATTTTATTTTACACACATTATTGTTAAAATGTTTAAATATAATATTTTATTATGATATGCATCTGTGAAAATGCTGAACAATAAGATTCATAATAATCCTCTTAGATGGACTGAGTACAGGGATAGTCACAAAGAAATATAAAGTTCTGTATTTTCAACTCTTCATGCTACAGACCACAAGCTTTTAGTGATTATGATATTCAAACACAATAACTGTTTATAAATGTATTTGGACAATAAACTGAAAAGCCAAAAATGTAACTGAATCAGGAGAGTGTAGCAAGCACAAAACCTTGGGTTATGTTTCTAGCTCTGTATAAAACCTAGGCATGGTCACACATGCCCATAATTCTAGGACTTGGGAACTGGAGTCAGTAGGATCATAAAGTCAAGTTTTTCCTCACATACAGAGTACATTTGAGGGTAGCCTGGGCTACATGAGATCTCATCTCAATAAACATTGATTAAAAAAATTAATGAGCCGGGCAGTGACAGTGCATGCCTTTAATCCCAGCACTCAGGAGGCAGAGGCAGGTGGATCTCTGTGAGTTCAAGGCCTGCCTGGGCTACCAAGTAAGTTCCAGGGAAGGCACAAAGCTAGACAGAGAAACTTTGTCTCGAAAAACCAATAATAATAATAATAATAATAATAATAATAATAATAATAATAAATTAATGAATGGGTGAGTAGCCAAATGTGAAAGTCTAATTCATGGTAGGTCATTAAGAATGTTCCTTTCGCTAAACATTATGTGGAGCTCAGGGAATTCTGCACAAGAGGGGGAAGGAGAGTAGGAGCCAGAGGGGTCAAGGTCACCACAAGAAAACACACAGAATCAACTAACCTTGCCTCACGGGGCTCACAGAGACAGAACTGACCAGGGAGCTTGTGTGGAACTGACCTTGGCCCTCTGCGTATATGTGACAGTTGTGTAGCTTCGTCTTCTTATGGGACTCCTAACAGTGGGGCAGGGCCTGTCTCCAGCTCTTTTGCCTGCTCTTGGGACTCTTCTCCTTGTACTGGGTTGTCTTGTCCAACCTAATGAGAGGGGAGCTGCCTCGTCTTACTGCAACTTGGTATGCCATGTTTGGTTGATATCAATGGTAGGCCTGCCCTTTTCTGAATAGAAATGGAGGAGGAGTGGATAGGGGTGGAGAGGGGAGGGGAGGTGGACTGGGAAGAGAGGAGGGAAGGGAATCTTAGGTCAGAATGTAAAAAAAAAAAATGTACCTTTCACTGGATGTTGGTGGCACAGCCATGAATCCCAGCACTTGGGAGGCAGAGGCAGGTGGATCTCTTGAGTTTGAGGGCAGCCTGGGCTACAGAGTGAGTTTCAGGATGGCCAGGGCTGTTACATAGAGAAGCCCTGTCTCAAAAAAGTGAAAGAAAAATAGGGTCTTTTTTTTTTTTGCCTCAGAATTTATTTTCTAGTCAAGTATGTTTGCAGTGACGTGTGTGTGTGTGTGTGTGTGTGTGTGTGTGTGTTTGTGCCCATGCCCATGCCCAAGTGCACATGGAGAGGTCAGAGGAGGACATCGAGTGCCCCGCTCCACTGCTGTGCATCTTACCCCCTTGAAACAGGGTATCTCACTGAACCTGGAGGGAGGCTGGCGCTCACAAAGCCCCATGAGCCTCCGGTCTCTACAGCGTCAGTGTCACGGGCATTTGGGAGCACACCTGGCTTTTCACATGGATTCCAGGGACTTGAATTCAGGTCCCCAGGCTTGTGTTGTCAGTTCTCTCCTCACCTGCCATGACAGTCTAACTGCTGAGTATTTCATCACTAATGTCATCACTACTCCTCTGCACTGGAATTCAGCCTATAGCAATTGTCAGTGGAGTGGTGCCTAGTAGTTCCCGGTACAGCCTGGACTCCCACAGCTCATGTCCAATCTCTTTCTGACTTTAAGGAATCGCTCTGTCATTTCACAGTCTCTGTAGACGTAAAATGGAGGAAATGTATTACTTCATAGAGTGCATAGGGTCACTGAGTGAAGAAGATGTGGGTCTGTAAAACTGGAAATCGTGTTAGAGACATGCAAGACCATAAAAATGCTGTCTTATTATTGTGATGCAGGGTTCCGTGAGCCTTGAGGGAAATAAACTTACTGGAAAATTCAAACGCGTAGACAATGGAAAAGATCTGATTGTTGTCCGAGAAATTTCTGGTGATGAATTAATCCTGGTAAGTTGTAAGAAAGATTTATAACTACATGTCAAACGCAAAAATGATTATGAACAAGAATTTTGTCACTGCTCAGTAGTTTGAAAGAAAGGGGTGGTTTGAAAGAAAACGGCCCCATATGGAGTGACACTATTAGGGTTAGGGCTTTGCTGGAGTATGTATGACCTTGTTGGAGGAAGTTTGTCAAATGGGGGTGGCCTTTGAAGTCTCCTATGCTCCAGCTATGCCCAGTGTGGTACAGAGTCCACTTCTGCTGCCTAAGGATCAAGATGTAGAACTCTCAACTATTCTCCAACACCATGTCTGCCTGCATGCCGCCAAATCTCACCAAGATGAGAGTGGAAACTCTGAAACTGCAAGCTAGCCGCAATTAAATGTTTTCCTTCATAAGAGTTGCCAAGGTCATGGTGTCTCTTGACAGCAATAAAACCCTAAGACACAGCTTTAATAAGTAGACTGTTCCTTATTTCATATCTGTTTGTGACATTTATTTATTGAGGAGAATAAACATCATATATACATAAATTAATTCCCGTTCTAACAAAAAAGACATAAATATCTACAACCCAAAATGTAATTTAATGGTTCTGTCCTATAGTTTCATAAACTGCTTCTATCAAATATAAGGACATGGTAGGAGAGCCTCTAACATTATTATTTTTCTTAATTTAGGATTTTATATTAATGGCACATTTTTTTATGTTTGTAAACATCTTTCAGACCTACATATATGAAGGAGTCGAAGCCAAGCGGATCTTTAAGAAGGAATAGGCAAGCTTCTTGGAGCTGGAGCAACACTGAAGAGCTACACTGTTGTTAGACTTCTCTCTCCATGATGTCAACGCCAGGAAGAGTCATCCTTTCATAAGCATTGATAGATTTCCAGTCTTCTCATAGTCTAAAATGCAAAAGCATTAGCACTTCATTTGTTTTATGTTCCTTAAGATATACATGAACTGGTATTTTAAAAAAAATAAATATCATTCTCACATTGCTTTGTAAGTAGTGTTTCCTTAAAAAAAAAAAAAAGCGTTTTGCCACATGTATTGATGACTGTATTTTAAATATTTTATTTGTGTGTGGGTACTGAGTTGTAACTTTTCTGAACATTTTTGATTTGATACATCACACATAAAACATCTTGAGTGGCACCTCATTTGTAGCTGATCCTGAAAAAATGTATAGGAGAGAATAATGTGTCCTTTATTCTACAGACACATTTCTTTCTTCCCTGGGCCTGTGTGGGAGACCTGCTCCCACTTTTACCCCAGGGTACTCTTGAGAAGGGAGAAGTGAGAAATATTTAGATAGAAGGATAGAGGGGAGATAGACAGATAGAAACATAGGATAGCTCTGGAGGTCCTGGATCCTTAGCCACTGCCCCCTCCAGTCTCTTAAAGGGTTTTTTAAAGGAATGCCAAGCGGCAGGGCAAAAGACCTCTGCTTGCTAGATGAAAGCACACCACATATCCAAGTGCAGACCCTTCCAAACACCTGGTAACCACAAACATGGTCAAGCAATCTAATGCAGCTCTGCTGGGTAGAGCAAGCTCAGATTTCACTAGGAAACCTTTGTGGACCTCCACAGGGCTGTGTATGAGTGACCCTTGCACTGGCTGATGAGATCTCTTAGTTCTGGCCCAGTCTTGGGCTAACTAGTGTAAATTCCTGGGAATTTCCCAAGCACCCTGTTTCTCCCTATTCCCATGATGTCTTCATTTCTCATGGTATCTCTTTCCTTTCTCTCCCACTCTGTCCCTGTTCCAGCTCGAACTTCCTATTCCCTTATGTTCTCATTCCCCCACCCTTGCCCTCCATTACCCCCCTCACGCCCAGTTTGCTCATGTAGATCTCATCTATTTCTCCTTCGCTGGGTGATCTATGCGGCCTTCTTAGGTTCTTCCTCATTAGCTAGCTTCTCTGGAACTGTGGGTTGTAGTCTGGTTATACTTTGCTTTACATCTAGTATCCACTCATGAGTGCGTACATATCATGTTTGTCCTTCTGAGTCCAGGTTACCTCCTCACTCAGGCTGATATTTTCTAGTTCTATCCATTTGCCCCCAAATTCCATGATATCATTGATTTTACTGCTGAGTAGTACTCCACTATGTATATGTGCCACATTTTCTTTATCCATTCTTCAGTTGAGGGGCATCTAGGTTGTTTCCAGGTTCTGGCTATTTTGAATAATGCTGCTATGAACATAGTTGAGCATGTGTCCTTGTTGTATGATTGAGCATTCCTTGGGTATATGCCCAAGAGTGGTATACCTGGGTCTTGAGGTAGATTGATTCCCAGTTTTTTGAGAAACCACCATACTGATTTCCAAAGTAGCTGTACAAGTTTGTACTCCCACCAACAGAGGAGTGTCCCCCTTGCTCCAAATCCTCTCCAACACAAGCTGTCATCAGTGTTTTTGATCATAGCCATTCTGACAGGTGTAAGTTGGTATCTCAAAATCATTTTGATTTGCATTTCCCTCATGACTAAGGATGATGAGCAATTCCTTAATTGCCCTTTGGCCATTTGAGATTCTTCTGTTGAAAATTCTGTTTAGATCTGCACCCCATTTTTTAATTGGATTTTTCAGTATTTTGATGTCTAGTTTCTCGAATTCTTTCTATATTTTGGAGATCAGCCCTCTATCAGATATGGGGTTGGTAAAGATCTTTTCCCATTCTGTATGCTGCTGTTTTGCCTTATTGATCATGTCCTTTGCCCTACAAAAGCTTCTCAGTTTCAGGAGGTCCCATTTATTGTTGCTCTAAGTGTCTGTGCTACTGGTGTTACATTTAGGAAGTGGTCTCCTGTGCCAATGAGTTCAAGACTACTTTCTTCTTTCTCTTCTATCAAGGTCAGTGTAACTGGATTTATGTTGAGGTCTTTGATCCACTTGGACTTGAGTTTTGTGCATGGTGATAGGTATCAGTCTATTTGCAATCTTCTATATGGTGACATCCAGTTATGCGAGCACCATTTGTTGAAGATTCTTTTTTTCCA